GTCAAATTAAAATAAATGAATAAATAAATAAAATTAAATAATCATTTTTTTTTAAAAAAGAGAGAGGTTTTGCCTGAGGTCACCTAGGCTCGCCAGGGGCGAGGAGAGAGAGAGAGAAGGAACGTGAAGAATCACCCTGGGGGATGGGCACGCTGCAATCTCTTCTCCATTTTCCTGGGATCTTGGACACGCACGCACGTGCACCCAGACTGAGTTTCAAGACAGAGTATGACACTTGAACTGTGGTCAGCCATATAGGAGCCCTGCGAAATAACTGCTCCACCACCTGCTGGCCTGGGTGGAACCTATGGTCTGGATCCTAGGGGAAGGGGAAGGGTAAACACCACAGGCTCAGGCCCAGATGGGAGACTGGTCATTTCTCAGGAGTGTAGAGCATCTATCAAGGCAGAGACTGCCCAGGGAACACCAGGGGGGGCTCCTGAATGTCTGCTTCACCAGCTATAAACGCTTAGCTGGGGGTCAAGGTATCCTGGGCCCTTAACCCGAGCAAGTTTACTTATTTCCTTAGGCAAGGCTCATCCTAGGCCCTCTTTATTGACCCTTGCTTGTCTTTTATCTTAGGAACCCTCCACATCCATCCTGTCAGAATTTGGGGCACGCACACATGCACCGAGTGTTTTTTAGGCTGTGGGGCTGGGATTCGAACTGTTGGCCACGTGGGCTCTAGCTCTCTTAACCCTCTGGCTATGAGACTGGTCTTGCCTCCTTCTCTTACGATGCATTGTTTCCCAGGAGCATTTACTCGAAGTCCCCTCAACCCAAATACACCTCTGTCTGCCAGACACAACCAGCACTTCTGAGCCCCAGCAGTGGAAACCTTCCAGGCTAAATGGGGTTCCCCACCCAGCTCCTCTTGCACTTACTTACTTCCCTTGAATTATTTTCTTACCTCTTAGTGATCTTCTTTAAGTCTTTTTCTCATGAACCAGCAAATCTAATTGGTGTGCCCTGATTTGTGCTATTGCTAGGGGGCTTTGGGTTGGTTTTTATTTCATTTATAGTGAGATGCATGGGGGAGGAGGGCGGGTTGCCAGGCGGTTTGTATTATAAGAGCGGCTAGCCCTTCCTGCTTCTAGACACTTTACAGTTGCTTCATCGGTCTTCCTGAAAGTGCTTTCATAATGCCACCAACTTCACTTGCTCCCATTTTCTATGGGAAAACAGTCCAATCTGCTTATCCTACAGTCAGCCCCACCTACATTCCTAACCTTTCTCATTGTTGCTCTAGAGGAACGCTTCCCCTAGCACAGCAATAATACAATAAAAATAAGTAAATAAATAGCAATAGTACTCTGAAATTACTTTAACTTTCTCATGATATGTATATTTTTTTAATTTCCAGAGGTTTGCATGTACTTGCCAGAGAGAGCGAGCAAGCGAGAGCGAGAGCGAGAGAGAGAGACGAATAACACAACTCCCAATGGAGTGTGGTCATGCTGCAGTCTTTTTTCCTCCATTTCTCCATCTCGCCAGTATTTGGGCATGCACACACACGCACCTGGTGTGTTCATCAGCCACAGGGCCCAGGACTTGAACTGATATTGGCCACGTGGAATCAGTTTCCAAATGCACAATGCTTAATCACTATGCTATCAGGCTGGAGAGCCCATCATGATGTATACTTTATTTTTTTTAAGAGAATTATTTATTTAATTCCATTTGTTATTATTATTTCTTTAATTTGACTAGATAGAGAGAGTGAGAAAGAGAGAAAGGGAAAGCAGGAAAGTAAGACGCCAGGTCTAGGACTTGAACCAGGGTCGGCCATGTGGGAGTCCAGTGCTTTTATCCACCACGCCATCTGCTGGCCCCCATGATGTGTACTTTAATACACTAACTAAAATTTGTTTCCTTTCTTCTAAAGTTCCATTCCCATTAATATCAGCATAATCACTTATTTGCTTTATGCCACAATATGGAATAATCTTCAATAATCTTCAATAATAACCCATGAACTACAAACACAGTTAAGATTTTGGCTTTAAAGTTCCTTTTGTTTTTACATATGACTTACTTTAAAATAATTTATTTATTTTTAAAAGAATGATTTAATTCCATTTGTTATTATTTTTTAAATTTGACCAAAGGGAGACAGAGAGAGAGAGAGAGGGAAAGTGAGAAAGTAAGCCGCTGAGTCTGGGACTTGAACCATGGTGGGCCATATGGGAATCCAGTGTCTTTAACCACCAAGCCACCTGCTGGCCCTAAAATCACTTGATTTTTAACTGTGCCAAAATCAACAGTTGTGAAATGTTTTCAGATTTTGACTTTTTATTTTTTAAAGATTTTTGCCATAGGGAATATGTGCTGGCCAGAAAGAAACAGAAAGGAAAGTGAGAAATTCCCCAGGGGGGATGGCCATGCTGTAATTCCCTTTTCTCCATTCTCCTCTTGGGATTTGGGGCATGCAGACACAAGTGCTGGTGTGCTTCTGAAGCCACCGAGTTTGGGACTTGAACTGTGGAGTGGGCCTTGTAGGACTCAGTGCCTTAATCTCCATGCTGCCTACTGGCTCTTGACTATATTCTTAAACAAACAAAATTTTTTTTTGGAGAGGTTTTTCCTATAGGGCATATGCGCTCACCAGAAAGACAGAAAGCAAGAAATCACCCTCCCCCCGGGGGGGTGGCCACACCGCAATCCCTTCTCCTCTCAGAATCTTGGGCATGCACGTACATGTGCCCAGGAGGAGTTTAAGCCACTGGGTTCGGGACTTGAACCGTGGTCAACTACATGGGAGTCCAGCGACATAGCCATTACTCCATCTGCTAGTCCTTTAAGTAAAATTTGTGATCTGTGCTACATTCGAGCTAAAGTATATAAGGAACAACAGTGTATATATTTATTAGGAACTTCCACTATTTCTCAAACTCCTATCTGAGGTATTTCATGACTGTGATGCCTGGGCAAAAGGATCCAGAATTGACTAATTTTATTAATACTGACACCAAAAAAGTTTGACAGAGTTTACCAATCCCTCTCTTTTTTCTCAATGTCTCTTCTGTCTTGTCTTCAGATACTTGAGAGAAAGCCAGGTAGGTCCAGTGCTCAAGACATTCTGTTCTTCCGGCTTGAGACTCTCTAATCAAAATCCAGAGACTATAATAAATTCTAACACTCCCTTTGGCTTCCCAATGCCTCCCCTATGTGTACTCCCATTTGCTGCCACGAATAATGGACAAAGCTGTTCAATTACTGGTGTGTTTCTGCTCTTAAAAGCTTTGACAGGACCTAAAAGACACATCAATCAATGATAATGTGTAAGCTTTAATCTGAACAAATGAACAGCAGTCAGACCAGCAGATGGTGTAACGGTTACGTCGCTGGACTCCCATGTAATCAACTGTAGTTTGAGTCCTGGACCCAGCTACTTAAAACTGACACTGGGTGTGTGTGCAAGTGTGCATACCCAAAATCCCAAGCGGAGACTAGAGGAGAAGGGATTGCAGCTTGGCCATCCTCCTGGGGGGTGATTTCTCACTTTCTATCTCTGTCTCTGTCTCTGTCTGTCCAGCAAGCACACGCACCCTATAGTAAAATCTCTCTCAAAAAGCAAAACAAAACAAATGAACAGTAGAAAAATAATTATTTTTAAGACAATGGGATAGCTGAACAATGACTAGATAGTGATACTAAGTAATCACTATTTTTTTAAAAAGGGGATAACTGTATTGAGATGATTTTCTTTTGAAGAATAGGGTTTTTTGTTTGTTTGTTTGTTTGTTTTTTAGATATATGCTTAAATAGTTATAGGTGAAATGATATGATGTCTAAGATTTGTTTCCAAATATCCCCAGAGGAGGATTAGCTGATGGTGTTGTGGTTCAGCACATGGTGGACTGTGGTTCAAGTCCTGGACCTGGCAACTTGCTTTCTCACTTTCTCACTCTGTTGCTCGGTCACCCTTGCTTTTGCTCTGTCCCTTTCTGATAAAATAAAAATAAATAAATAAAGTTAAATAATTCTTTAAAAAAAAAATTCCCAGAGGAAAGAAAATGCTGAAAATGTAGTCAAATCAAGACTATCAAAATGCCAGTAATTGTTGAAGCTCTTTAGTCAATCAATATAGTAATGCCTTTTTTTTTTTTAAGTTTGCAATGGTATTTTATTTATTGAGCGAGATGGGGAGGCACCTTTGACAGATTCTTCAGGCCTGGCCTCTCCCGAGCCTTGCAGCCAGCCAGGGTCATCCTGGTGTGACCCCAGATCCTTCTCACATCGCTTCCGGCATTGCAGTGCCTTCTGCCTGCGCCACCTCAGCTGGGCCAAGTCAGGAACTATTCTATTCTTGTATACATTTGACATTTTCCAAAGGCTTTTAAAATTAATTATGTATTTATTAGTCAGAGGGTGCCTGTGCTTGGCAGAGAAACACGAGACAAAGACAGCGAGGGAGAAAGCGCCCCACGATGGCGCGTGGTCGCACCACAATCCCTCCTTCACCTCTCCAACCTGTCGGGATTTGCTGGGCGTGGATGTCCTGGTCGCCATGTGAGAGCCTCCTCCCTTAGCTAGCCGCCTATCGGGCTGGCCCTAAATTTTATTTTTAATATTCTTTTCAGTACGAGGAATATTTCAAGATCAAAGAAAAGATCATAGCAGGGCATCCTAAAAAGTTGGGCATGAACTTCAGTGGGCCAGGACTTTCCCATGTCCCACACCTGAATCAGGGCTGTCACACGGAAAGTGTTCTTAGTGTTTTGGGCAGAAAAAAAAAAAAATCTGTGAATAACACTGAATGTGGAACCCAGATCTGCCGGGGCGGCACTTCACAGGCTCCTCCGACACCTTAGCAGTTCCCGGGCTCCCTCTACCTCCCTCGTTGCCATCAGAGTCTCCGCTCACACCCAAGATGGTGGCGGCTCAGGCTGGCGAAGCAGGTCAGCGCTCCTTCCCAGAGAGTGCGCAGGCGCGGGGCTGCGCAGGCGCGTTCCTGCTTCCCTGCCCGACCTTGGCGGATCGCGCTTGCGCATTGGGGAGCAGCACCCGGCGGGGCTTCGGGCTGGCTGCAGTCTCAGTCTGAGGGCGGCCGAAGTGGCTGGCTCAGTTAAGATGAGGCTTCTGCTGCTCTTCCTGGTGGCGGCGTCGGCGGTGGTCCGGAGTGAGGCCTCGGCCAACCTGGGCGGGGTGCCCAGCAAGAGATTAAAGATGCAGTATGCCACGGGGCCGCTGCTCAAGTTCCAGATTTGGTGAGTATGTGCGCCGTCCCCGCGGTTCTGCCGAGTCTCTGCTCGGCACCGCTCACTACGCGAGGCCCCGGCTTTGCGGCCTAGCGGACTGCATCTTCCGCGGCTGTGACGATCAGAGCCGGCGCCCTTCGGCAGCCTTTCTCTGGGGCCCATTCGCGAGACGGTCAGGCTTCCTTCTCTTCGTCCAGTTACAACCGATCACTTTTTATTTTTTTCGCGGCCTGGGGTGGTAGGAATGGGGAAGGAGGGCATGAGAAGGTTAAACGCAGAAAGATGAGGACGAGGGGGACACTTGTCAGTACCGAGCACCGGTCGGCGGCGTCACGCCATAACTCCCCACGCTGCCTGCGGAGGTGGGGAAGGTAGCCCAGCGTCGGCGGAGAAGCCGCAGACGTTTGTCACCAGTTCCTTCTTCCTCTCCCCCCCTGCTGCGTTATACCAGTGGACCTGGCCGCCGGTCTAGAAGGTTAATTCGGGTCGTCGGAGGAAACGCAGGAGCGACCAGCGCCTTTTACTGCTGGGGTGACTGTTTAGTGAGCGCGTGGGGCTTCTGACAGCCGGAGGGCGTGGGGAGGGGGTCCGGGGAGGCCGACACCTAGTTCTCTATTTCCAAAGTGTCAGAAAAGGAACGGTCGCTTTTCTAAACTTTGAAGGTTTGCTCCCAGACACCTGGGAGCTGTTCCCCTGCACCCGTCTCCCAGGAGCTGCCTGTTTTGGCATCTCTACCTTTCCCGTGTCTTGCACATTCAGAAAAAAGAGGGAAAGAACTGGGCCGTTTCCTACCTCGTTCCGTAAATGATTTCGTTGTTGCTTGATAGTTAAATATTACAAAGCAGGGCAGTGATGCATTGCACAGGGTGAGAGAACGGGTTGAGGAAGGTTTGAAAGGCTTATTTTAAAAAATAACAAAAAAATTTAAATTGCATAAATGAAAACCTTACACCTCTAAAGATAACTTTTAATCAGGGTAAGATAGATTAGTATATATCTTAAGGGATTTGACACTTTGGAATATTGGCATTGGCTGTAATTCAAATCAGTTATTTAAAACTTTATGTATTAACGTAAGTATACTAAAGTTTAGATTTTCTACTTCTGCAACTAGATTTTCACTTAATCTTTGGAGACTAAGCAAAAAAAAAAATTTTTTTTTTTTTTGAATATAGAGCATTTAAGCCAGAGTACCAGAAAAGAAAAGAAGATAGTCGTTATTTTTGGAGTTAAAACCAAAAACTGCAATTTCTTCCTGACTTAAAACACAACTCTCTGTATAGTTTACTACGTGCCTGGAATATACTCTTTAATATAATACTGCAAATGGGATTGTGGTTTAACCATTCTAACTTTTTCCCCTGAGTTTTTAAAAATAGAAAGTGGTAGTTACTTCACCAAGCTATGAAGATTGTTAAGAATTATGTGTAGTACTTTTGGATTTAAGTGGTTAAGACAAGACTGCAATTTTTCCAGTTAGGTAATTCTGCTCTGTCATCTCTTTCTTGCACTTTTGCTTTAAACTTTTCTTTTATATTTGCTTGTATGGAATACTAGTCACAATAATTTACCACTTGCATCTTTTGCTGAAGATTTTCATAATCAAGTAAATAGGTAAATGAGGGATGGGGAATTCAGTCTTTCAAATTAAACGTTTTATAAGTCCTAAAGTACTTCAGTTGAATTTCTAATAGCTTTTCTTTGCTTATTTTTTTTTAAAGTTCAGACTGATTCCAAAGGTCAAAAAAAGAGTTTTCTTTTGCAGTCATCCTGAGCATATTACATAATAAAAGTATTTCAATGTTTTAAAAAATCTGTAAATGAGAAATAATTTTATTAATATTCCATGCTAACTACAGGTAAACTTAGCTCCTTGTTACTGTTCCCCGGGAGATGAATCTGTTTATAGTAAAGTGAATATTGAGTTTCTTATTTTAAAATCTCAGCGCTATAAAATGTAGATTTTCATTAACATGAAAAGTGAGACCTATTAATCAAAAGAGAACTATTTTGCCTTTATTTTCCTTTGATTTTATTCCTTATTTCACGTTTATTATGAATACTTAAAAAAAAATAACTGTAGCTCAGTGTATCACCTAGCAACCCGATGCACAATGGGATTGAAGCTGAGGTTAAGCATGAAGAATAGTTTAAGGGAACCAGCAGTTAGCGTAATGGCTATGTCGCTGGACTCCCACGTAGTCGACCGCGGTTCGTGTCCCGGACCCGGTGGCTTAAAACTCACGCCGGGCGCGTGCGTGCGTGCCCAAGATCCCGAGAGGAGAATGGAGGAGAAGGGATTGCGGCGTGACCATCCCCCCTGGGGGGTGATTTCTCGCTTTCTGTCTCTATGTCTCTGTCTGTCTGGCGAGCGCACGCGCCCTACAGTGAAAATCTCTCCAAAAAAAAAAAAAAAGAATAGTTTAAGACTTAGTTTCCTCTTGTGCGTGTTCTCAATAAATATTCAATACCCACTTTGTGCCAGAAGCGAAAAACCTCACGGTGAGCAAGACAGATGTGATTACCCCATGAAGCCAACAAAATTGGCACAGTATTATTCTTTGTATCTGAATCTTTGTTTTATAATGTCAATTGATTGAAATATGGAATTAGATCATTTTGGTGACATCGATTTTGCATTTGGGAAAATATTGGGTTGTTGGGAAAGTCATGATGCATTTTGGTAAAGGAAAACAAAGATAATGTCATGACTTTCCCAATGACCGAATATTATCCTGCTTATTTGAATGTTTAAACATTGAACATAAAAACAGAAGTTCTTTCATCAGAGTTTAAAGCTTCCTTGTTGGGACCAGCAGTTAGCATAATCGCTATATCGCTGGACTCCCATGTAGTTGACCGCAGTTCGAGTCCCAGACCCAGTGGCTTAATCTCTGTCTTTCTGGAGAGCACATGCGACCTATAGCAAAAACCTCTCCAAAAAAAAAAAAAAAATTTCCGTGTTACATTTTCCTTTTTAAAATTTTTATGTGCAAATTATTAGATTTTCACATGCAAATTGTTAATATTAGGCATGATGTTTGGCATGCACGCTTACTTAATTTTTTTCCATGTATGTGATTCAACATGCAATCGGATCTATGATGTTTAGTCAGTTATTGCCATTTGAAGAGATTAATGAGGGAGCAGCCCTGTACCCTAGTGGTTAAGGGAGCTGGATTCCACATGGTCAACTGTAGTTCGAATCCAGGCCCGGTGACTTTGAAAACACCCAGGGCACTTGTGCATGTGTGCCCCAAATCCTGACAGGATGAAGTAGAGGACGAGGAATTACAGCTTAATCGTGCCCCATTGAGGAATTTTTTTTGTCTCACCCTCTGGGGAGTGCATGCGTTTCTGGAAATTAAAAAAGGCAAGAGAGAGAAATTAGTGGCTTCAACCCTTTACAGTTAATACTTGAACATTTGACTGATGAATTACTCAGAATAGTAGATTAAGTGAAGTTAAGATTCCAAAACAAGCAGAATATGGCAGCATTTTCATTTTTTGCTAACTTAATAATCTACTGCTATAATTTTAGGACAGCCTACTTTTTTTTTTAAGAGAGATTTTTGCTATAAGACAAGTGCACGGTGTAGGAGAGACAGCGACAGAACGAGAAATCATCCCCTAACGGGGGATGGTCACTCAGCAGTTCTTTTTCCATTCTCTTCTCGGAATCTTGGGCATGCTCACATATGTACCCAACATGAGTTTTAAGGCACTAGGTCTGGGACTCAAACTGCAGTCGACTTCGTGGGAGTCCAGCAACCTAACCATTATGCCAGACCCAGGATAGCCAACTCCTAAATGGAGTTTTAAAAGATAAATAAGCTCTTACAAAAACAGATTTTTATTCAAATTTATATTGACTCAGCCTTAGCTTTAGTAGGATGGCAAGGAAATGAAGATCTAAGACTGATTTGGAAAGACTGATTTGGATGTTGATACTTATCAAGATTAGTGAAATGCCAAACTGGAGAAATTATGAGTTACAAGATTATGTCAGCAACTTGATGTCTGCATATTCAACAAATACGTGAGCACTTATTCTGCAGGCACTTTGCTTAGTGCAAGGAATTCAATTCAGTGCACTCAAGGACTTTATAGGCAAGACCTTAGACAGCCTTTCATCTGAGGAGACCACACATGGTGGAAGGTAGGCTGGTGAGACTGGGAGCTCGGGTAAGAGCTCCAGTGAAGTACTGCACAGGCGCCTGTTACCAGACAGACTCACATGCGGGTACTGGCCTCACAGCTCTGCTGGCTCTGCTGCACTTCCTCCTCCCCCTTCTACCACTGCACCCAGATGCCCCTACTGAAGCAAGCAGGTCTTTCCTAAGCTCCTCAGCACAGAGACAGGCACAAACAGTGTATATCCTTTTAAAAGGATTTCAGAGGTGCTACATCTGGGCTGGGAACATGTGTGCCCTGAGCTCACAGAATCAATCTGCCAGCTGGATCTAGGGAAGCGGAGAGCACAAGGTGTCATGGGTCACACTCCTACACGTGTAAAATTAAAATGGTGTTAAGTGCAGTGAAAGAAGGTTACATGGTGATATGAGCGGTCTAGTCAGGAAGTCAGGGTTTCCATGAGGAAATGAACTTGGCACTGAGACCGGAAGGATGAGATGTATGTAGGAAGTGCTCTCACTTTCCAGACAGCGGGAATCACTTGTGCACTGGCCTGATGGTGACAGGAAAGAGCACTGTCTACTTGAGAAACTCAGGGCGACTGATCTCAGAGCCCAAAGTGCCACAGTGCCGTGAGGGTCTGGCAGACAGTGCTGAGGAGCTTAGGAAAGACCAGACGTTGTAGTTTTCTTTGTGGAAAAGACATTCCAAGGGACAGAGAATTGGTGAAAAACCACTTAGGGCACTTTTAAGGTCCAGGCAGAGATGATCGAGCTGGGAATGGTAGAAGTAGCAAGTAGAGACAGGTTTGAGAGACCTCTAGGACATAAATGTAGCAGCTCTCAGTGATGTTTGGGGGAAGGAGAGGCGGCATG